TATACATCACCATTTAATATATTAAATTATACGACTTTTATTGTTACTTAAAGTACTAAAGGTTTAGTGTGCCAAGCGCACTGAGAAGAACAGCTTCAATAGCTTATAACTTTAAGCACATCTTATTCAATCATGTATACAAATTGTAACAGATAAATTATTTTTTCTCGTACCTAGAAAAGGACGAGTTGCGCCTTATCATGAATATTATAGCCATCTTCTCAAACATTGCTATACTATAGCTGGTACAGTAGCTGAACCAAGTGTCCATACATGTAAGTGAGTTTCTCACAAGTACCTGCCATGTTCAGGAAAGTTGTAAGGTAACTGTAAAGTGTCTCTTTGCCAAATATTACTGTCTTGCTGTGAAGCTATAAAAATGCTTAGTGTAAAAGCTTACATTACTTATTGCGCTACCAAGGCTATTGTGCCCCTGTAGTCATGTAAGGTCTAACATAATTTGCTTATATTTTAAGGTGTAATGTAGCGTGTCATTTTATTACGTTGTAAAAATTCTGCTATAGGTAAAATTGTATATCTGTACACATGATTCTAATAAGTCATCTACTAAATTAAACGCCCCGGGTGAATACTTTTTATTCAATTTAAGCTGACAAAATGAAAGTAGAATCGAGTACTTGATGGTTAAATTAATCGTGTTTTGTTCTAGTAAGTAGAAGCTTGCGGGTTTGATTCGGAATAAAGGAATTTTTTTTTCATCAAGTTAGTAATTTTTTACTGACTATTAAGACTCATACTGATGAAAATATGAAATAATTTTTCGGACCAACCTCAGAACGATTGTGGCATTATAAATTTTGTTTCGTAGAACTTTTCATTTCAAAATTATTCAAAATTTTATTTTTAATAAGCTGTTACATTTTTTTTATCATCCAAGTAAAAAATTATGAAAAAATGTCTTATTTTTCATGTTAAAATGTAAATATAAGATAAATGTATCTAACGAAGCAAAACACTATATACATCAATGATTACATTACCAGATAACATAATTTTTATTCCAATATGAAATCAGCGGAGGGTAATTTGTGTGATGTATGCTCAGTCCAGTTAGAGTATGTCGATCGAAAAAGTTGAAAACTCTCTAGAAGAGTAAAGTGATAAAACTATAAAGGCCAACAGAAGTCCCTACAAAAGCAATCTGCCTCTTAAGCTTGGATTTGTTAACTTGGTGACATCAGCCCAAAAGATATCACGACTTAAGAAGTGGTAGCTTTGCAGCCGATCTCTAGCTATCAAAATATATTTTTGTTGAGCGGACGATTTAAGATCAAAGACTCAGGTGATCTATGTACTAGCAGTAATTAAGACAGCACTACGGTAATTGTATATTACTGACTCTACTGAAATAATAATACCTTTATGTGTATCCCAGTGGTTAAGTTTCGCTCTACTGTAGAATATGCGTATAGAGCGAAGGAGCCCTGAGTAAGTTAAAGTGGGCAATGCTTACGTGCGCCCAGGGATCTGAACAAACAATACCTGGGAAGAAAAAAACTCAGTCAAATTAGTTTGACCCGAGTGAAACTAACCATCTGTGTGTCTGTCCTTCATGTATCTTCAAATTAATCTTAGTTTTGAGTTCTTATGTTAAACGATGTTTAATTGAATTGAGTTAAGTTAATATTACAATAAAGAAATAATAAAGAACGATCATAGTATGGATTATAGGGATTTTGAAATCATTGTATTGACTGATTCAACATTTTTACGCGACGATTTATTTTTGAGTCTAAGCTTGCATTTAATGACTTGGGACTCACCCTGGGCGCGTAGATAGGAAGCAGGGCTAGAGGATAGTTGATTTAAACGATATGGGGTATTTGCAAAGGGGCTACGACTGTTTTAACACGACTCGGAGTGACTGCTGTGCAGCATCCCGGTGTACTTACTTGCAGTGTGCCTAATGTTTGTCGATTTCACACGGAGCGGCGTACCGAATGGGTAACTGTTTGCGGCCTAGAAACTACCAGTACCGTAACGAGCAAAGTTTTGTTTCTAGGGGTTACGCAGGAAGGGGGGGCGATGTTTTAATTCGGGACCCTAATAGAATCTACTAATACCGCCACGAGTAATGGTATTCGTTCTAGTTTTTACGCATAATTCAACAGATTATTTAATAGCCGGTATTCCACAAGTACCACTACTGTGGCGAGTGATAGTGTGCGCGTTCGAATTTATTATTTTCCGGTGATCCTTGGGTACCACTACTATAGCGGGTAATGGTGTATACGTGTTTATGCCCGCGCCAGAAAGAAAAAAAGGAAAAATTAATTAAAAATGTGATAAATTTTGAACACTTTATTTTATTTAAACCCAAAACAACTTATGCACGCGGTGAACCAGCGTGAGGTGTCCGTATCTGAAATTAAAACCGCTCTCGTGGAAGACGAAGTAGCAGAGGCGGACTTTAGCTACTCAGTCAACCGTTCGAGGGTAAAACAAAAACCGTGTTCTTAACTCGTAGTAGACTGAGAGGTAGCAGAAGCAGACTCTAACTACTCAGTCTACCGTTCGAGGGGTAAAAATTAAGAGAGTCTCCAGTTTCGGAGCCTTCGGGCCTTTTTATAAGGAGTAGCGGACCTCGGTGACCCGCGGGTTTGAGAACGACGCAGGAAAACTTACCTAGGGAAGATGTTGAAGAAAATCTAATTGGTTAGAACTACTCCAGTTTATCCACTCAAAAATTGGCACTTCCCACATCCGGCTTGCTCTCCTACATGCGTCAAGAGAAGGGAAGGTGATTCACTTACTCTTGCCCTTTCTTTCTTTTTTACATTCGTATTTTACGCAATTTTAATATAACTTAATATTGACATTAAGATAGAATACTATTAATATTTACTAACGCTAAGCACCGTTCGTTCACTGAACTAAACTCGTTGCAAAAAGAGCGGTAAAAATCGCTTAACAATTCAATTAATGCTCGGGTAAATGAAAGATCGGTGTGTTACGATATACCAATTATCACTTTTACTTAAGAGCATTCAGTATATCATCTAAAATTTCTACTTTATCAACTTCCCTATAATACGAAACTATTGCTAGTAACTAATTATATAACTATATAAACACAAAATAATGAGCAGAGCCCCCAAGCTGGAACTTTGAAGAAACAATTAAGCCTAAATTCAATACAGTTTGTTGTGAACTTAGAGAAAAAGTTACATTTTGTGATCATAAAAGAGTGGGTCAGTGTGCACAATTTAAAATGTAACTTTTTTCTCTCAATTCGCAACGGGTTGCATTGAATTTGAGCTTTATTGAATCCTGAAAGTACCAACTTAGGGGCTGTTCTCATTATTTTGGGTTTTAATGAACATAATTATTTATTAACAAAAATTTTTTATTATAGGAAAGTTGGTAAAGTAGATAGTTTAGATGATATATTAAATGCCCTTAAACAACAGTAACAGTGGCCATGGCTATAATAACTTATAATAGTAATATTAGTAGTAGTAGTTATAAAAAAATAGTAATAATAATATCAATAATAGTTATAATAATCATAATAATAATAATAATAATAATAATAGTAACAATAATGACAAAAATAATGGTACTTTACCTATCGCGAGTTAACATAATTAGATTTACAGGTAGTTTTGACTCTTTATAATGTTGCAAAAATAATACGGAATTTTGGTAGAATTTTAGTCAACATGTTTTTCGCTGTTAGTCGTTGGAGAGGGAGTCGGCTCGTAGTGCCCTGGGGAATCGAAAATTCCGTTACCTGTGTTGAAAGTAGAAGGACAGATTCTCTCTCTCTCTCTCTCTCTCTCTCTCTCTCTCTTGACATCTCCGAGTCAGGGAAAGGGAAAGGGTGAACCTCCCGTTTTCCTTTACATTCGGAAAAATGTTAGAATTTAACTTAATTATAAATTCGACTATAGCAGTATGTTTATGGAATTATTAATGTGATGTTAAAGGGTTACTCGGTAAATCATGAGCTTGTGAACTTGAATGGTAAAAATCGGGTAATTCCTTAAAAGTTCATAAATTGGTTACCAGGCTTGTCGTAGTAAACATGTAATGTAGTTGCTTGCTAGTGGTGTAGTGTGTACTAGTTGTTTCTAACTATGTGTGACGATTCTGGCTTGAGCTATTATTTTCACTTTATCTGTATGTATTAACACTAAGTCATTTTAATTATTTAGTTGTAATTGAAAGTTATATTATCACTTAATATTTTATCTCAGTTCAACTATTCTCAGTTAAATTTTTAATTTTCTACGGTTATTTTATTTTTATTCATCGAAAAATATTTTGTTTCTTTTTTATTTCTGGTCAGCATGAGCCAGTGTGCATGTACATGAATTATAATTGTGCTACAGGTACGAGTAACTAGTAGGTGATTCACCTCTTTTCCAATGCACGTTGGTCTTTGCACAAAATACTTTCAAAACAACATGAAAAATTTCTAAGGAACAAGCAGGGAAAAAATTATTAGTAATTTTAGTTTACCGACGTTACAATGTATTAGGTCCTCAATCTTATGGTCTCCCTGCAAATAATTTAAATCCATAGTATACAATCTATCGTTGCCAACCCACCGTGATTAAACTTCAAGAAAAAAGACGCTGCAAGTTCTATCTCCACACAGGTGGAAATTTCTCAGACTTCTATTCTGTGTATGAAAGCGTAGATCACTGAAATTTTTTTACCAGTATCTTAGCTGTCTTAAAATATCTTAAATTAGCTTCAAATACTAAAAATAATCATTAAAATCAATTTAAAATTAAAATTTTATTTTAATTAATGAAGTGGCAGTTTTGTAAATACTTGTGGCCCAGTCACACAAAATTCTAAAAGGTTTTTTACCATATTTTTATTTTTCTTTAAACCTTCCAACATGATTAGTATTTGATTTATCTCATAAATTTTATGATAAAAAAAATAAACCTGAGGAAGGAATTAAATATTTTTCTAAATGTCCATATACTTTGTGAATGTTAAAATCATCTCATATTTACTTTCAGCTACTCATCATTTTTCAAAATAAAGTATCTGATTTTTGTTTCGCTCGAAAAACAGAAAAAGAGGAGTTATTGAAAGATCTGACTAACAGCTTTAGTCAACAAATGAATTTGAACACGATAAATATTCCATCCCATTATTCAGGTATGTTAAAACAGTAATTATGTATGTTATTTATAAGATTGTAAGATAGGTGACACACAAAATTTACATATTATGACTGCATTAGGATAAACCATGGCTTTAGTCCAGCAAAAGTATTTCTCTTGTCTGTTAGAATAAAATATTTTGTCTTTATATGCGTTGCATTAAGATAAACCATGGCTTTAGTCCAGAAAAAGTATTTGTCTTGTCTGTTAGAATACAATATTTTGTCTTTATATTTATAATTATTTCGTGACACGATTACAGAAAGTGTTTGATACTTTAAAAAATGACATTCTAATTTTTTGATTCAGCAAAGTAATTATTAAATTCTTTGTACAGTTTTTTCGAAGAAGAAAAAAAAATGATCTCATACCAGACAGTGTTTACAATATTTCAAGTTAAGATGCATTAAGCTAATTACGTTTTTTTTCTTTTCCAACTCTCTAGCACATGTAAATGCTACCAGGGACAGCTAAAATCATGGATATACTAGGCATCCGCCCAGGGTAGGTGTCATTAAATGACCCATAGTTTAGTAGTCCTGGTAATCCATGATTTTTTTAATAAAAAAGTTTATAAATGTGTTTGATTACTATGTAATGACTTAGAAATTGTAGACATTTTATAAATTATACACCTTTATGTTACAGTCTTCTTTAACATAACTAAAATGATAGATAACTTATTTATAAATATCTTTTATCCAATAGCTTATATTAAATCTTTTTTCTATTTACATTGAAATCATCGAAAGCAGTTTAAGCCCACCCATATTTTCTTATGCAACTGAGAAATTGTATAATTTAGTTTTCTATATTCACATTAAAAGAAACGGTAACATAGTACTTATGTTAAATTTTTATAGTTTACACCACGCATTAAAATTAATAACGTCACACTAGTTAATACATAACGTCACTACATATTATAATCAGGCTATCAATATAAAAAAGATGACTTTCACTAAACGGTCAGTATTAGCATGGACCTTTGTTTAGCTGAAGTCATTCCCGTAATGGGAACGATAACTAACCAATGTTATTTCTGGAATTCTGTAGATTGAAGGAAAAACTTGCGGATCTCTTAAAAAAAGCTTTTCGCACCCTGTTAGTGTTAAAGAGCTGCTGGCTTAATCATAACACCGGGCGTATGCTCAAAACGATATCAAGGCAATTTTTCTACGTAACTGTGGTATTCTAAAAAACAAGCAATATCAAAACGAAAGTTTTCAGTTTCGTTAAAGCTTTTAATACAAGCTTTGTTGCACATGCATAATTTAGTTAATCGTTTGCTCGTATTTTGCGAACTTGCGTTGTGAATATACTTGTGCTCTGAAATATAGACAGTGCACCGCTATAATAGTTTTGTGGATAAAGTCTTACGCATGCAATGTATTTTCAAAGTTGTGCTGCACGTAGCCCCATCGACACTCTCTAAGTTTTGAAATGTTTCTGTTTAACTTATAGTCCTGCGAGAATATCGAAGTGTAAATATGAGTCTTGTGAAAAATGGAGTACACCTACTGGTTGTTACGTACAATAGCATATAGCTACGCGTGCATGCACCCCCGCTGGCCTTGTCCCAAAAGGGTAAGGGAATAGAGAAGAGAAGGTATAAGAAGGGAAACGAAGCAACAGAGTGAAAGGGAGATCAGCTAGAGACAGGAGAGCGGAAGGACCGAGCCTCTAATGAAGCATAAGTTAACCATGAGCTGGCCTATTATTTATTCTGGCATCGTAAAATCCACGTTACAGCTGGTGTCGGAAGTGGGATACAGACAAAAATTTTTACGGTCTGTTGCGTGCGTAGAAATTACTTAGTCTCAAAAAAAATTTATTTTATCTATTAATCAACGTAATAAAATAAAGATAAAAAAAATGTATCGCTCATCGTACAGTAAAAAAGTAGTGTCAAAAGTGCCAGATGCCCAGTTCAGTGATCCAACAGTCACAATAGAAGGAATCTAGAGGAAGCGTTAAAAGCATGAAAGAAATAATCTGGTAACAAACCTTTAAAACTGCTACCAGACCAGTACAGCAATAAGAGAAGAAATTGCATATCAAGCCAGCGAACCAATTTATAGAACACCAGAAGACAACTACTGATTACTACAGGCAGAAAAATACAGACAAAAAAAGATCACGGTACGCCGAGCCCAGACGGTAACCACAGACAGGACACGGAGTACATCACTCAGAAGTAGAAAACAACGGGGAAAAGCGAAGGCAGGTCAACGTTCAGCAGGATCAAAGGCCAACTCATGGACATACACAGGATCAGCATTATGCTGACTATCGTGACATAAATCTGGTAAGTAAAATTTCATTGTTCCTATCTAATATACTTATAACCCCCGAGGGAAATACATGCCCAGAAAAAGATTATTTGTACATATCGATATTATTACTAAATCGCAAAATTTAAAGACTTTGGTTGTAACACATAATTGCACGCACAAACATATACCCGATATACAAGCGACGAACACCCCATACAAAGTTTTAATTAATAAATAAAAGGAGTCGTTAAACGAAAGCAAAAACAATAAAAAGACTATTGACTAACGCTAATGAAGAGTGCACATATATATCAGGCTAGCCCAAAATACACAACAACGACAGCGTCTTACGATTAAACAAAAATAAAAATACGAACACACAAGACAAACTACAGAAAAAAGCTAGAGGTCAATATTATGAGTGACGTAAAAACAAACGATATACTGGGAAGAGGAGTACAGAAAGTCGAGAGGTGCACAGATGTACACGCGATAGAACTGATTAAGACAGACGATGAGGTGATACAAATTAACCTAGAAGATGATCCAAAATCCAGAATTTGTCACCCTATACAAAACACATGGACTCTCATTATTTGAAATATTAACTCCCCACGCCGAGCACGAAAATATTACGACTTACATGAATGGACAATTCAGTAATTAATTTAGCGATAAAGCGTAAGCCAACCACTACTGAAATCTACTTGATATCATAAGAGAAGCAGCTTCACAGACTGTACAATACTATACGAATGAAACAGCACCTACAGTTGCACAATCAAGACGTCCACCGTCATGACATACTTGCGGAGAGACTACACTGCGTCAAACACAAATGCGAATCCCGGTAGTTTAAGGTGGACAAGTAATCGGGAATGATAGCGTTACTCTCAATGCAAGCCACAACAATAATAATTATAAACAAAATAATAGGGCACAACCTCATTCTGCAGACAAGTTTGAGTCAGGTTGGGTGGATAAAAATCACTTGAACGCCCAAGACCAATTTACGATGCCTCCGAATAATACAGAAAATTTTAATTACGAACGCCAAATTCAAAACACGATGTTGTCATTGAGTCGTTTAGCAACAAACGTGCCAAAATTTGATGGCGATCCCGTTAAGTTACCTTTATTCAAGCAGATGGTGAAAAGTGTATCTTGGACTGTAGGCCCTGTGTACAGAAAGTTTTTTATTGGCTCACTAGCAAATAAATTTAAAAACAAGACAGGCGAATTTATACCATGGCTATCACAGTTATCTTCTGTAGATCAATTTTCAGTAGAACTTAAAAACAAATACAGTAGCATCGGTAGCGTTCATACATTATATTATTGTCAAGACTAAAAGTCGTAAAGCAATACAGAGGGTAACTCGTAGAATATTACAGCAGCCGCTTATAGAATACATACGATAGAATAATAAAACTCTACGACTCTGACACGACACTACTCCATAGTCAACGACAGGCGTTGAAAGAGAGCGCTGAAAAAAGCCATAAAACAATATACGTACATAATACAATCGCCTTATAACTACAGGGTAACATGCTTTAGTCCAAAAACGTTGGGCAAAGCTATAGTAGCCGACCTAAAAATGGAAAGCCACCTAAGCCTACGTGAGATTATGCCAGCACGAATCCAGGCTCAAATATGCCTAGCAAGAACAGAAACAAGAGATACGGACGATCGTGTACGCAATCTAGAGCAAGCAAAAGCAAGCGAAACGACAGAAGAAGGTAAAACAACCAGGGATTATTGATATTGCTCGTATTGTAATAAATACGAGGAGCATGCTCCAAAATTATCTATGACACTGGTAGCAGACGCGACGAGTAAAACAGTGCAGGTAGCACAAGATAAACAAAATGTAAGGGATAAAAATTGCGCTTACTGCAAACGGGCACTATACAAGCGAATGCCGCACACTGGTGAGAGACGCAGAGAGTGGAAGAATAAATTGGAGCATATAATACAATAGCGATAACAGAGAAAATACGAAAAAAAATTTTAACTACCGAAATAGTTATAATTACCCCCCTAATACCCATAACCAAAACTATAACAACGATTATAGAAGGAAACTCTCTAATAATGCAGGTTACCACAGATATAACAACTTCAACAGTAACGCTTATTACCCGAGAAATAACAATAATAATTACAACACCCAGTACAGTAACAACAAATATTGTAGAGGTAATTATAACTACAACAGAAATTATAATAAAAGCGAAAATTATAACGACAGAGGACCTCCAAATAAAACAGGTGATGCACCTGATGAAAAAATATTTACGCATATTACGGAACACTTAAACTCACAGGATGCTCGTCGTGCTGCCCAAGCGCTGAACGGGCCCCGAGAATAGAAAGAAAGATAGAGTGTAGAAATGAGACAGAGGCAGCCAAGAGAGAGAAGGAGCCAACATAATGAGACAAAATACACATCGAAGAAACAGACTCTGGGCAGTCTCCCCAAACGGGTGAAAATGTTCCCAAAGAAAGAAGAGTTGAAATGGAACCTATTACTAGTAGCCCTTCAGCCGACGAGACATAAGCCTACCTTTCTGCAGGGTAAATATATCACGTACTAAAAGCACACCACCATCAGTAATATTAAGCAGCAATCAAGTGCAATCTTATAGCGCAAAATTTTACGTGGATACTGGTGCCGAAGTATCAGTTATGAAAGAATCCTGTCTCACTACAGACA